CTACGATCGGATGTCATGCCGAAGGCCCAGGTAATATGAGACGGTGAAAAGATCGAATTCAATAAACCCATTTACCTTGACCAAGAGATCAACAAGTAGCATAGTGAGGTAGTAGAGACTGAACGGAGGAAGAGAGGGCCGGGTCGGGTCGCCCGCATTTCAATCCATCAAGCACATCTTCCTCAGTAGTATCAGGAAAGAAACCAGAGCCTTTCTCTTCAATTCAAATGTCTGTGGCCATTATCTCTGTCTGTGAGGCGTGATCATTGACTAAAGCCGAAGAGCTCAAGATATCTGTCGTCGAGAAAGCCAGGGAAAGAAGAATATGGGGAATCTCACGTGGCGATCATATCCTGAACACGACATCGTTGTCGAAAGCAGAAACGAGAAACTACGGAAATTGTGGACTAGTACTCTCGTTAATCCACTGGGACGCTTTGTCGCATACCACGGTTGCGGGAAGATTATATTATCAGACAGGAAGGCTGCACTTTACGAGCCGAAGACAAGACTTGAAAACGTGCTGAGTCCGGCGCGTTCGTCGCTGATTACCTACATGTTTAAGTGTTCCAAGTTGTACTAGTAACTGTAACACAGATTCTTTTGTGATTTCATTCAATCAGTAATTTCTCATGTGACTTTCAGGACGAAATTATGGAAGAAGAATTTAATTGCTTCAATGTGATCCGAAAATTCGGTTCCATTATAATGTTTAAATAACTAAATGTTTTCAAAATTAGATAATGCTTCCAATTTGATTGTGTGGTTGCTTTTGCCACCAGGATTATGAACGATACTCCATCGTTTGCACCTTCTGCTGCCCAGAACAACGTGTCGATTTCTTAATAGCTCTACAGCTGTCTTAAGGCGAGGCATCCATTATAGAGCGTCAAAACGTAAAAGATATAGTTAGATACTAATCGATCATTGACGTCTCTGTGCCAGCTTCCCTGTAGGTATACTGATGCAGAAGTGTTCATACCTGACAGTGTATGAAAGTAACTTACATACAGACCTCAGCTTAAGATTCAACACATTCTTAACGTCTGAACTTCAGTCAGCAGTGCCACTCAATTATTGACTATTAGTATTACTATTATTATTTCGGTTCTAACTAATGTTATGCAACAGGCAGCTTCTGTATGCTTTCAACATCCGCACATATAAAAGGTATAATAGTAGGACAGTTATTACGTAATGCACACAGAAAGCAACAGAGGACACATTAAGAGAGGAAGCTTCAAAGGGTACGAATTAAGTTCTGTAGCAGTGGTTGTTCGCACAGCTCGGTTCTTAGTTTCAGGGTGACGAAGTTCCCTAGTGTGGCAGAATTCCGAGAATAGCAGGCTGTTAAATCTGTGAGAAGCGAGCAAGTGATTATTTTTCAATATACGCTTAGAGAAGGAAATAAAACGGTCATAATCAGCCGGCACAACGGTCTTAGCCATGAAAACTTAGTGCCACCCTCCAGATTTTGTGACAGCTGCAAGAGCGTAAAATCATGTCCTGTTGAGGTTCAAAAATAGACTGGAGAAACATAGGTGATAACTGAACTATGCAGCATCGTGTAAATCGCCAGTGCAAATCAAGAATCTTCAAAAGCACGGGTAAACGATGAAGGTAGAAGTTGAAGATCCTGACCATGCCGATGACTTAAACCATGTGATTAGATCACCTTAACCTGTCACTAACCGTCACACCAAGGCAATTAACATTTTTAACTCGGATCAGCGCCGTCTGCATTAGATTAGTTTCTTGTTTAACAAGATTGATGACGTAATGGATTGGCGTGTTTAAAGGAATAATGACACACACACACACACACACATACACACACACGTACACACACACACACACACAATACACTTGCTAAGATTAAGGGTAAATCCGTTGGACCAATCTAATGGCTTCTTTATGTGGCATCCATATTCTTCGATATGTTCGAGGCTTTTGACAACTGTAACGAAACACCTTACGGTGACGCGCATATTTCTTGCACAATACCGGTAGTTCAGATCTAATGTCTTTGGTGTACAGGGAGAAAAGTAATGGTGGGGCAGGTGAACGTTGAGCATATGCCGTACATAGGTTGCATCATGAGTTTCCGACGTACTTTGCTATCCGTACGTACCCCTCTGATCCAACAGCGACAAGAAACTCTAGGCATCATTTGAAATAGCTGCTCCGCATACGAAAAGCTAGCCATTTATGTTATGATATGTTTTATCAATGTTACTTTAGCTCATGCTACGTTTCGGCTTGCCCGCATAATACTCGTAGACGAAAACACCCACTTATAAAGCCAACTTCGAGTGTTTGGCCGTTAGGTAATTAATAGCCAATAGAATCGGAAACTGGTTTTATCATGATTATTCATCACAGTCGAAAAGTTTACCTATTTTAAGAAGTTGGCTCATTTTTTACGCTGACTTGATGTAGTGAGTGACCGAGCGGTTTGCTTGACAGTTTATAGCGAAGTTCGGGATTGTCAGAAAAATTTAAAGAAGGTGGAAAACTGCGGTTGAAG